TCTCTCTCTCTCTCTCTCTCTCTCTCTCTCTCTCTGTAGACCTGTTATGTCTGTCTTACATCTTCAAGTGCTGCGATGCATGCAATCCTAGCAGGTTGCTCTTGAGAATGAATCAGATGGAGATGACGAGTGGGAATATGTAGAAGATGGGCCTCCCGAAATTATATGGCAAGGAAATGAGATAATTGTGAAGAGGAATAAAGTGAAAGTAAAAAAGAAGGATCCCAATCATGTGATTGTTAAAGAGGTACTGATTTGTAGTTCTCTATGCTATGTGTATTTCCCAAAGCCATCCTGTGTCCTCTTTCAAAATCCTATCACCTAGTGATTGCCAAAATAGATGTAATGTAAAGGCTGTCCTTTGCCGGTGCAGGATCCCAATAGGCCAACATCCAATCCACTGCCTCCACAATCTGAAGTATTTGCTGACTACAAGAATGCTTCATCTCTTTCAGCACAGCAGTTGTTGGAGAATGTTGCTCTACAAACTCCGAATTTTGGAACTGAGCAGGTAGACATCTACAAATCCTAATTAGTATGACATTTTGTTTCTATTTCTTTAACGTAAACTTCTATTATTCAAAATAAGTACTCTCTTCTCTCCTCTCATTTTGTCTATCATGACCATCTGCTTTCTTGGTTATCACATGGCAGGATAAAGCTCATTGTCCTTTCCACCTAAAAACTGGGGCTTGTAGATTTGGTTCACGCTGCAGTAGGGTTCATTTTTATCCTGATAAATCCTGCACACTGCTCATGAAGAACATGTACGCTGGACCTGGTCTTGCTTGGGAGCAGGATGAGGGGCTTGAGGTCTGTTAGTGAAGTCTTCATGTGGCTCTAGTATCCTGATTTTGGTTGTTGCCAATCTTTAGTAGTTTTCAGTTACTGCATTTCTTTGGAACTTCTGTTATTATTGGTCAGTTCTTCCTTAGGCTTCTTATGCTTCTCAATACAAAAGCAAAAAAGCACTAATGTGAGTGGTAATATTACAAGTCTTTGAGTTTTTGGGTGTGTCTACTTTTTTACTTCTTTACTTGCATCAGTACTGGATCAATGTTGGTTGTCAATTGTCAGTAATGAAATATGATGTCAAGACTCAAGATGTGGCTGGAACACTAATCCTCTTTTTTTCTGTGTGGCTATTTTCTTGTTTATCGAATTCACTCTACTTTAAGTGTGTAGAAGCTTTCTGTTTGTTCTTTAACTCCCTTAAAACAGAATATCTGCCCTGAAAATTCTGGAGGTACGTGTTTCTTCTGCGCATCAGCTGGAGACTCTTATCGAGCTCTGTGTCCTGTTTTGCAAAGTGAGCCAAAGAATTTTGAATGTAACAGTTGTTGTATGTTTGTGATTTCTATATTTTGCATTTCTTCATGTTATTTACCCTTCTGTTTTTGGTAATAGAGAAAAGGAAGACTGACAAGAAATTATTTTTTAATTGGATTTGTGCTGCTTTTTTTGCATATATACAAGGTATCACTACTGTATCCCATTGGTATTTTTAAAGATAGGTTATGAATTTCCATGTGCTTTGCCCATGAAAAAGAATCAGGCCTGCATGTAAGGGATCATACTGAAGGCATGATTAAGTATAAATAAAAGTGTGCTCTCTCGAACAACTTAAGTTTTTAAATGAGATAGTCACACACTTTAACTGAAGCTATTAGTTTTAGCAAAGTTGAGGGTTATTAATGATCTTTAGATAATAGTAGGTTGTCCAGTGCTAAATGTTAAAATTCTGGATTTTCCTTTATTGGATTTAATTCTTTATACCTGCATAGTCTTTGTATGTACATGAGTGTGGCTACTAAATTTGTTTTGGGTAGTTCTATGTAGTTTTAATCTGCAAAACCTTAAGAGTCTTTCTGGTTTTGGCTTATCATAGAGCTTGTTGGTAATCCGTTGAATATTTAGTTGTTAAGTACTTGCTAGTTGTATTTGAACTTCTATTTATATTTCATATACTATGCATATGTTTGTGCAATCAATTGTGGTCCACTGTTCTTTTTTCTACAGTGTACAGATGAGGAAGTTGAACGTAGTTATGAGGAATTCTATGAGGATGTTCACACAGAATTTTTGAAGTTTGGAGAAATTATAAATTTCAAGGTAGTTACTTCTCTTTCTTTCTGTTGTTGCTACTATGTCCTCAATTTGGGATGTAAGTTCCTAAATCAGTGACAACAGGGATATTCTGTTTGAAGTGAGCAGTGTCCTTTCCTACTCTTTTAAAGCATGTTGCACATAGTAAAAACTTACAGTTTCACGACTCCTTGATGAAAGAAGGATGATTCAAAAGCTGAGTTGTTGAGGTGCCTTACAATACTCTAGCCTTTTCTCTTAGGTATATTTGGTTGCCAAGGAAGCAAAAAAGAAGTATTAAAAAGTTAGTTACTTTGCACTTTAGGTGCGTTTCATAAGCAGGAAAGTCATGGGAATCGTAATGACCTTCCCACAGAAAAACTTCCCTCCAACATAAGTCCTGCAAAAGTTGCCGGATTTNCAAAAATCAACTTTCTTGAAATCCAAAAGAAGCCTTGAGGATCTAAAACATGTAACAATATATGTAAACGAAGGAGATCTTTTGGAGAGCTGTATCACATGACAATGAGAACTTTTATTTGCAAAGTAATGCTGTTATTGAAGGAGTTCTCCTTTAATCTGGGTAACCAACAAATATGTTTCCACATGTAGGTGTGTAGAAACAGTTCATCTCATTTGCGAGGGAATGTTTATGTACACTACAAAGATATAGATTCTGCGGTGCTTGCTTATCGTTCTATTAATGGCCGTTACTTTGCTGGCAAACAGGTATTTGACTTCCATTCAAGTTAATGGTTTGTGGTTCGAATGAGATGCATTTTGCTGTTTGTTATTCTAATTAGCTTTCTTTTAAAGAGAACTGACCGAGTGAAGCAAATGAAATTTCCCCTTTTGATTACAGCCTATTGTTTTCTGTTTACCTTGGAGAGTCGAGGTTGTAATACTAACGCCCTAACGACACACTTCTAGGGATCACAATACCCCATATATGCACTTTGCTTACTTGCATTTGAACGACTTGGTTTAGAATGTAATGACAATTGCTTTTTTTTCTGGTTCTTGATAGATTACATGCGAGTTTGTTAGTGTAACAAAATGGAAGGTTGCCATATGTGGGGAATTCATGAAATCGAAGCTTAAGGTACAACTTGAATCTCACTACTCTTGCTTATGTGATGTGTTCTGACTTAGTTGCTAGTTGCTCTTTTTTTTTTTTTTTTTTTTTTTTTTTTTTTTTTTTTGTCAGCATTATTTTAGGGAGTAGATTAGTTAAATAACATCTTTATTGTTTCCCTGATTCTGATCTTAAGATCATCTTTTTCTCCTAATTTATTAACATGAATTACACACATGTATTGACAGTCATGCTCTCGTGGAACGACGTGCAACTTCATCCACTGTTTCCGCAATCCTGGTGGGGATTATGAATGGGCAGATTTGGATAAACCACCGCCGAGATACTGGTTAAAGAAGATGGCTGCTTTGTTTGGATACACTGATGAGTCTGTCTATGATAGACGGCTTGAACTGAAAAACTCAGAATGGACGTTGAATTCCTACAAGATGCCGACAGCTGATTCTGACAGGTTTGTTAGCTTTTTGCATCTTTCATGCGAACTTGATAGTGTAGCGATAATATCTTGATGCTTTAGTCTTCATAAAAGATTATATTGATACTTCATTGTTGGCTATCTGATTTTAAGAGATTACAATGAGGCATGCATGTTGGATATGTGAGTGGTGGCTAGCAGGTGGTTGTGTTGAATTTGAGCGGGTTAAGAACGGTTAAAGATAATTGGGTCAAAACCCAACCCATGTTTAATGCGTGTCAAAATTGGGTTAGATGATGGGTAATTCGGCTCAAACCTGTATTTTGTACACAAATGTAGAAAAAAGAAAAGGCAAAAACTCTTTGATTAGCCATTGCCCATCTTAAAAAATATAGAAAATTTAATTCCATTCATTACACTATGTTTTCAGAATGAAGACATTTGTAGAAATTTGATAAACAATATTCCCCAGTCTTTCAGTGAAATACCAATATAAAAAAATATAGAAAATTTTAATTCCATCCATTACACTATATTTTAGGAATGAAGACATTTGTAGAAATATACAAACAACAACAACAACCCAGTATAATCCCACTAGAGGGGTCTGGGGAGGGTAGTGTGTGCGGTTGTACGCAAGCCTTACCCCTATCCTGGGGTAGAGAGGCTGTTTCCGATAGACCCTCGGCTCCCTCCCTCCAAGAACTCCCCCACCTTGCTCTTGGGTGACTCGAACTCACAACCTCTTGGTTGGAAGTGGAGGGTGCTAACCACTAGAGCAACCCACTCTTGTCCCCAGTCTTCCAGTGAAAAAATTAATCTGACCAGATTGCAACCAATCTTGGACATGTAATGAGACAAAACCAATTACTCATTGACCTAAGTGCATGAATTAAATCAATATGACGGATTGGGTCTCCATTATACGGCTCACCTTTCTCTTTAGAAATATTTGCAACGCCTGATTAAATAAATCCATGAATACAAAACTTGGAATTTTTTTCCTTTTCTGTGAATACATTTATTGTTCTGGATTCCTCTTAGCCTAGCGGCTCAGTTCTCTAATTTTTTGTGATGTATGTTGTTGCAACAACAACAACAACAACCCAGTATAATCTCACAAGTGGGGTCTGGGGAGGGTAGAGTGTATGCAGACCTTACCCCTACCCCTAGAGGGGTAGAGAGGCTGTTTCCGAAAGATTTTCGGCTCGAAAAGAAGAAAAATAAACACTAGACAATAGGTCAGTGACAGCAGTAGAAGATAAAAAATATTAACAACATCGTAAGAAATACAAAAATAGATGTAAAAGCAATAACTATAAACAACAATACTACCATAGAAAATAGTGAGGAAACTACATAAACCACTAACAACTCACAGCGAAACAACAACAGGCCAGCCCCGCCCCCGGAACAACCCTAACCTACAACCCTAATGCTCGACCTCCACCCCTTCCTATCCAGAGCCATGTCCTCGGAGATCTGAAGTCGCGTCATGTCTTGCCTGATCACCTCACCCTAATACTTCTTAGGTCGTCCTCTACCTCTCCTCGTACCTGCCAATGCTAACGTCTCACACCTCCTAACCGGGGCATCTATGCTTCTCCTCCGCTCGTGCCCGAACCATCTAAGCCTTGCTTCCCGCATCTTGTCGTCCATGGGAGCCACGCCCACCTTCTCCCGAATATCTACATTCCTATTCTTATCCAGACTAGTGTGCCCGTACATCCATCTCAGCATCCTCATTTCTGTCACTTTCATCTTCTGGTTATGGGAATTCTTGGCTGCCCAACACTCAGCCCCATACAACATGGCCGGTCTAAACACCGCTCTATAGAACTTGCCTTTGAGTTTCGGTGGCACTTTCTTGTCACACAGGACTCCAGATGCTAATCTCCATTTCATCCACCCCCTCTTATACGGTGCGTGACATCCTCGTCTATCTCCCTATCCCCCTGAATAATTGATCCAAGGTACTTGAAACTCCCTCTTTTAGGGATGACTTGAGAGTCAAGCCTCACATCCATGTCCGCTTCTCCCGACTCATCGCTAAACTTACACTCCAGATATTCTGTCTTAGTCCTACTCAACTTGAAACCTTTAACCTCAAGGGTCTGTCTCCAAATCTCCAGCCTCTCATTAACGCCGCTTCGCATCTCATCAATCAGTACTATATCATCAGCGAACAACATACATCATGGCACCTCCCCTTGAATATGGTGTGTTAGCGCATCCATCACCGGGGCAAATAAGAACGGGCTGGGCGCAGACCCTTGGTGCAACCCCATAACAACCGGATAGTGCTCCGAGTCACCTCCCACAGTCCTAACCCGAGTCTTAGCTCCCTCATACATGTCCTTTAATACCCTAATGTAAGCTACCGGCACACCTTTCCCCTCCAGGCATCTCCAAAGAACCTCCCTAGGAACCTTGTCATACGCTTTCTCTAGGTCAATAAACACCATGTGCAAATCCTTTTTCCTATCCTTGTACTGTTCCACCAACCTCCTGATAAGGTGGACAGCTTCCGTAGTGGACCGACCCGGCATGAATCCGAATTGGTTGTCGGATATAGACACTGCCCTCCTCACCCTTCCTTCCACCACCCTCTCCCAAACTTTCATGGTATGACTTAGTAACTTGATGCCCCTATAGTTGTTACAATTCTGGATGTCACCTTTGTTCTTGAACAGCGGTATCATCGTACTCCACCTTCATTCATCTCGCATCCTCTTCGTCCTGAAGATAACATTAAATAGCGCAGTCAACCATTCCAAGCCTGCTCTACCCACACACCTCCACAATTCCACCGGAATTTCGTCTGACCCGGTCGCTCGGCCCCTACTCATATTGCGCATAGCTTCCACTACCTCCTCAACCTTAATACGCCTACAATACCTAAAGTCTTGGTGACTCCGGAGTGACCCAATTCCCCTAGCACAATGTCTCTGTCCCCTTCTTCATTAGGTTAATGGGCGGTTTGAATAAGGTTTCATCATGCACGGTTGTGAGTGGGTCATACAATTTTGGGTTCAGATTGCCATATCTGATTATTGTTGGCTCCTCTTTCTTCCCTCAGTTTCATCATTCTTTTCTAATTTTAGATGAAAGATGTATTATCTCCCTGTTTAATTTTCCAGAAGACTAAGGTGTGGGTGAATACATGGATGCATATCAATCTTGAGCAAGTATGAAATCCTTTGACTACTTGTCTGGATCCAGTATAGAAGAATTTGGTCGAATATTAGAACAGGTGTAGATGGTCTAATACTCCATGCCTGAATGAATAGGGTTCAACGAACAATCTGTTAGGGTTCAACGAACATATTGGAATGTTATTTCTGTATCCTTTTATCTTGTCATCTGTGTGTTCTCAAATTGGCAGGTTCCCCAAGGGCCCTTTTTTTTTTTTTTTTTTTTTTTTCTTGTGATGAAATTCTCTCCTGTTTCTTTGTAATATAAGCATAGAGTGCAGAAAGCATGGTTTAAAATTCAAGACTATTTTAAAATAATTATGCTTAATGGCTTCCTTGCACCATTGAATATTACTGACAGGAAAAGGCATAATTTTTTGTTAGCGTACTTTGTTGTTACTATTTATTATATGTTCAAGTAAAACTTCTGATGATAAGTTTTCTAGAATTGACAGGCATCGCTCTGTAATGTCGGATTCAAGGGATAGAAGGTCTCGGTCAAGGGAGAACAGAAGTTCTAGGATCCACTATAGGGATTATGATGGTCATAAGAGGGCACATCAAGAGAGAGACGGCAGTATTGATAGGAAACGGCGCAAAATTCTTGATAAGAAACGATACGTAGAGGAAACAGGACAACATGAAGAGGAAACAAATCAACATGGTAAAAATAGATATCATAGTAGTGACTCTGATGGGGGTTTATCTGAGAGAGAGAGAGAGGGAGTTATTAGGCGCAGTCACAGCAGAAGGAAAAGATCAAGAATCCACCATAATGAAAAAATGGGGCATCGACATTGTAATGGTGACAGCAAAAGAGGGGTTAGCCATTCTGACTCTGATGATGATTTGCCTGAAAAGAGTAGATATAGAGATGCAGGATCTGGAAACAAAGGGAGGGGCTCAAGACATTGGAAGGAAGATCAAAGTACAGATTCTAGTGATGAGTGGTTGAGTGAGATACGAGACAGAAATTGCCATCACAAGAAAACTAAAAGAAGAAGCAGGTCTAGGCGTCATGACAGTGCTCCATCATCACCCGATCGCCGGGATAAGAGAAGAGCAAGCCATGATAGTAATACTACTGGAGATTGGACTGCTGCTGCCACAGATAAAAGAAAGCCAAGTTCTAACAAGAGTGTCGATTCAGATAGGGATTACCAATATCATCATAATGAAGACATTGAGGAAAGAGGCCGATGGGAACCTGATGAAGGTGCTACTGCAACACTCTCTAAAAGTAGTTAAGGGTCTGAAATTGATGATTCTGAAGATCACAACGTGGAATCTGAGCTGAATGACGATGGGGACTATAGAGGGAGTACATCAAGGGGGAGCGACCGATCAAAGAAGCTAAAAGGATCTAAAAAGAATAATAGTAGTCATGAGGAAAAAGACGGGAGTTATGATGGACACAAACAACATTAAGTTAAGCTCCTAAGGCAGTCATTGCATTCCTAGTTTCAGTGACTTTCATACCCTATATATATAATCAGTCGAAAATGTTGGGGAAAACTTAGAGTGTAGATATGAATGGTCTCATGCATCAACGATTGGTAAATTTTGGTCTTGATTGTAAATGGTGGAGTCTGACTTTGTCCGAATTTAATTTCCCATAAAATTCCATCTGCTGCTGGAAGTATGACCATTTAGCCCGATCAGTGCTATAGTACTTAACGTTGATCACACCTCCCTTAAGGTGTTCAGCTATTTCTTGATTAGAAAATCAAGACTATTAGCTATGAAGTTAGACTTAACGAGGTCACATTAAAATCCATCGGTAGTAGATTTCCAATATAATTCTCTTACGCTTCTGAACCCTTGAAGCAGCACGGTTAACATAGCAAATCACCCTCAGAGGGTTTAACTAAGAACTTATTGGTAGGCGCTTATCTTGGATGATTGAATGATTAGTGTGTTAGTTCACTTGATGGTATTTCGTAAACTAGCTAGCTCTTCTATGTTGGATGAAAAAAGGATGTAGTGTTCAAATTTGCTTTTTTAGGAGTCATACATATGGCTCTCTTTGATGAATCTTACTGTGATTAATATTTAAAAACTTGCACTTATGCTATTCTGTAATATTTCTTTATAAAGGACGACTTAATTCTGCCCTACATTTTATAAAATCAATCCTTGAGAAACATACAGAGTTACATTGAGATGCTATATGGAGAGGTGAATTTTGAGTTTTGAATAGGCTTATATTTCTGATATATACGTGTAAAAGAAGAATCCACTTTCTTCTCCCCCAATTTTATGATTACTCTCCAAAGATAATGCTTATGTGCAACTAATTTTTCAATTTTTTATTCTATTATAATATATAAGTTAAATAAAAAATTTAAACTCCGAATGATGAATTATGCAAGTAGTTTCAGAGTTTATTTGGTGTGAGAAAAATCACCAAAATTTAATTATGGCTTATGTGTCATCTACTACAATAAAGGGGTATGTGGTTTTTTTAAAGTTGATTATCACTTATTAATAGTCAAATCAACTACACTTTAGTCAAAATGGACTAGAGTGCCCACATAAATTAAAAAGAAAAAGAAATTAAGGAACTAGCGGATAAAATGCTATAAAATAATTGATTACAATTTGAGTAGAGAAAAATTATTATAGAAAATTTCCTCGTACTTTATATTTTATGTTTTCCTAAATGTTCAACACATTTTTCTTTTTGAAATGGACATATAACTAAAAATATTTTTAGGCCATATCACCACCGACCTAAAGACTCGAGATTTAGATTTTAGTACTTATTTTTATACTACTCTCCTCGCTCACCTCCTTCCCCTCCAAATATCCAACATTTTTAGAGCTCTATTTTTCTTCATGAATTGGCAACCTTGCGAAGTTTTATGTCTCTTTTTCCCCTCTCCACGCCTCAGAAAAAACGAACTGAGGAAAACGCCGCCACCACGACCTCCAACTGCAACCACCGACCTCCTTTATTCTAATTGAGAGTTGAGAGACAAAGAAGCTGAATTTCACCAATATTTATTAAAAAAGAGCTGCCCATTTCAACTTCTAATTTTGGAGTTTGTGGAAGTGTTTCTTCAATAGTTAAAACGTTTTTATCTCTTTTTTACAAACAAGGTTCGTTTGCCTCAAGGGCGGCTCAATAAAATTAATGGCCTAACGTGAAATTTTAATTGGAGACCTTAACAACAGATTTCCGGCGAACGGCGAGCAGTCCAGCGACCACCCCACGCCGACGCCATTCCTTTTGTCTTTTCTTCTTTATACCTTTCTCTCTCCGTTGCGTCTCTGCTTCGAGTTCAATTGGGCCACTTGTGGTGAGGGTGACAGCCCTACCATCATCTATTTTTCTTAGTTCTGTGGTGTGTTGTGAGTGCTGCAGGTACCATTTTTGTGGATGTTTGGTGACGGGAGGGAGGCGCACGCGCAAAAGCAGCAAAGCAGGTCGGTTGGCAGAAACAAGGACAAAACATCGGGTTCTACAGCATCAGGAGTATACCAAGTCGAAAGTCCAGGTTATATTTGCGGGAATTGGTACCTCCCGTCTCTTGTTTCTCTCTCTCATGTCTTAGTTGATTTGTTGTCGTAGTAGTACGTAATTAGTTTAGTCAATTTAGTAGTGGACCTATATTCCCAGTTTTTACATAGACTTCCGTAGGTATAACGGTTGTGGTTTTTAATGGCAATGTAGGGTCATGTCCTCGGGGAGGGCGGG